TTTTCGCGTAGAATCACCCCCCCCCCCGCTTGTACTAAATATATTAAATTGCAACGATTGCTTCACGTTTATTTATTTATCTCGGAAATTTGTCTTTATTTCTCTTTGGAAATTGATAACGAAAATGATGAGATCGCGGGTAGCAGCGACAGACGAAAAAGGAACTTCGTACGGGAAACGTGGAAAGAGAAATATTTTCTATATTTTTAAGTATACTTGGAATATTATATAATAAATATATGAAGTAAGGTATAGATATATTTGCACTTTGCGATTGTACGTGTACGTAGCGTGATATCAGGTTTTTTAAATTGATAATACATCATAAGGAAGCTTCTTGTAAGAATTAATATTAAAACTAATTGCTAAATAATGTTATCTCTCTGAGAGAGAAATAACATTTTATATTTTCTGCTTCGAACTTTGTGTGAATATTTCCCGTCGAATTTTCCCAGCGCTTAATGAGATCGCCGTGTTAGACTTTCTTGAACACCGCTGCTATTAACATTATCGGAACAAAAATAAGAACTTCAGAAACCAGGGCCGGTGTGACTTTTCGCGAGACCTGAATACACCTTCAAATCCTGCGCTTAGATTTTATTTACCAATGCTATTACATGTTATTTATTTCTTATAAGCAGCTTTTTTAAACAAATCCAAGTAATATTTTTTCGCATCCAAGAGGCAAAAAATTCAACGAAAGTACAAAATCTGTAATCGTGTGTAACTTTTGCAAAAAACTCTTCATGTAGTTTAATCCTTAACCTACAGTTACGGGCATAGCCCGTAGTAGATGATCCGACCAAACGCAAATCGGCCCAAAATTCTCGAACGTAAATCGTAGGTTAAGGGGTTAATTTCTGTAAAAAGTACATTTCTCTGAAAACGCCTGGATTCTTTTATCCAAAGTCGTTTCCAGGATACGAGGACTTCGTGGAGTTACACCGAACTTTGATGATGTTTTCCTTTAACCTGAACGTTAAAACTGCATCATCGCTACTAAAAAAAATATCTCGCATCTGTCGATGGTATCGTCATTCTATAAAAAGTTAATCAAAATCAGTGTTTCTTAATTGGGTAATTTTCGTAGACCGCGGAGTCTCTTAAAACGCGGCGAACACGCTGAACCTGCCTTGTCAGAAACTGTTGCGTAACAAGAATATAAAAGAAAGTTGACGAATGTACGTACTGGACATATTTCATAAACATCGTTAGTGAAATAATAAATGCAATTGTGAAATAAAAATTGTATTAACAAGTTGGACAAGCTGAAGAGAATACTAAAAGTGGCAATTCTCTTTAACTAGAATTCAAGAAATTTCTCGTAATATACGTGAAATACGTGAAATAGTTAATTTTTAATCATTTTACTTTATGAAACGTTTAATTTAATTTAATATGTGTGTATAGAATTTCTTAAACTTTCTACCACTTAAATGTAATTTACAAGACGATAATTATAAAAAGAAATTTCTCTTCTTATTTTTAGACAACCGGAGAACGAAGATATAGTTATCAAACGTGCATTTCGGAATGCATACAACAGCAAATTTATGGTTCCTGCGGATGTTTACCCTTTTTCTTTCCAGACCAGCGTGAGTAATTTTTAGACGTAACTTTTGTTAAAGCTATCGATTATTAATAATTTCGTCGGATTTCAAGCGCCAGAACGCAGAATCGCAGAACGAGAAGTCGAATTTCATAGAATTCGTACCTTTCGCCGAGTAATATTTCAATGTTACACGGTCGAGTATCAAAAATTCAAAGTTATATGTCGATAAAGATGCAAATTGGCGGGAAACCTTCTCAGCAAACTTTCTCGTACGACCAAACAGCTCAAAAGAAATTTAATTTATGATATACATAATTCATCGTGATACATAATTCATGATATAAAAATTAAAAAATTCATCGAGAATAGAGCACAAAGTGAATAGCAGAATATCAATCTGATAAATCAAATTCTCTTTATAAAAATTATATCCTTTGTACGTTTACTGTTTTTTAATAGATCCGAACGTTCGTACTTGTTATTTGACTGACGTGGATTGCATCTTGTCCCGTAGAAGTAAGTTCGTTAAACACTTTCTTTTCTATAATAAAAAATTCTTTATAATTTCATTTAACTTGCGATTTACTTTTCTATCGTCTGTTAGTATCGAATTAAGAAACTTGAACGAAAGTACGAGACGTATCCAGAAAATAAGTTCCGAACTGCTATGGAAAAAAGGCAGAAATTAATTTTCGAAACCTCAGAAAACCTCAGAAAGGGTGCGTGCAACTATGTCGGCTTCAAAAGCACGAAATTTCCTGTTGTATTTTCCTAAAGTTCGATGTGTCTAAAATTCTGCGGTAAAAGAATATTTTGAAATTCTAAAAAGACGTGCGAATTATACGAATACGTCTGCCAGTGAACACAAGTGCGTTCTTTTATTCCAGTGAAAGATCAATTAAAAATTATAAACGCGGTTTTCTCAAAACTAGATTTTTCCACTTTGCACCCGGTAGATCTCCGAAACTTATCCGATTAACTTGAAACTTTTGTACATTATTCCGCGTAACGTTATCTACGTTGTAGCGTATGATTTTCTCGATATCTTAATCCATTTTTTCTTCTTTTATTTTTTTTAATAGACGTTAATTAAAGTTGTTTTTTTTTCAGAGAAAAATAAAATTTTGTTCTTAAGGAGACGCTATTTTCGAGTTTTTTAAAGACACAGAGAAATCGTATGCTACATCGAGGATAATCCGTTAAAAATATTTTGCTTTCTACCATCCAGTCACGTTCGCCGCTGGGTACAAGTAAACGAGGTCCCGCAGACGATGTCCTACCACCCCGTCATTTTGTAATTTTACGTAACAAAAAAAATACCAATCCAGAGTTAAGATGTTGCTCAAGGTTATCTAAAAACATCTTGATCCTTTGATTAATACTCGTAGGCGAAAAAAATTCCTACGTTTGTCTTACTTTTGTGGGCCTGTAGAGTTGCACATCCTTCGGGTTGGCAACTAAGTGGTTGCGGATTTTGTCATTAAGTGGTATTGATAAAATCCGCAATCACTTAGTTGCCAACTCAATACTTTCGTACGCAGCTCTTGCCATTATTCAGACACTGGTCGCAACAGAGTTCTAGTTTCTGTATCCTCGCGTCGTAGGATGAAGCCGGCTAGGATGCCACCCATACGACGAGCATAATTTCCGACATTCCAGACGATGCACAGTGGTCTGTCTGTTGATGATGTAGCGGGACAATAATCCAAAATCACGACCCATTGAAAATGAATAAATCTTTGTCATACCACAAGCCACCCACTTAGAGATATTGCAACGTCACTTAGTATACAACTTTGTATGTGTTTCGTATAAATGTCGATCGGCGAAAGGAACGCGAGCCGATCCTTTGTTAATCGATTCTTAAAACTCACCGGTATCGGCTAAATATCGCAAGTGCTCGGTTGTACGGCGATTTAAATCGTCGGTATTTTTACAAGCAAATGGTAAAAATCGCGTTTCAGCCGCGTCTTTTAATTTCCAAACGAACGGAAATAAAATACGATCGTAAAAATGATTTTTCGATAACTTTCGTTGGAGAAGCTGTAGGATATCCATGTACTCGGTGGAAATTAAAAATTTGTTACGCTGCTTCGTTCTATTTGCCTGGCGGAGGATATGTGCACGAGTTACAATTGCAAATATTTGCAGTTCTACGTAATTTTACGTATCTCCTCGTTGTAAGAAGAATCGAACCGAGAATGGGAATTCGGATTTTGAAACGCCATCGGAGATCGAATGATGGAAGTTTCAAGGATGCTGGAACAACGTCCATGGTGTTTCTCAAACAAATGAGAAATATTTACACTTAATGTAATGCAACGCACTCAAATCGTTTTGCAGCTGTTTCGGCGCCGACTTGAAACGCCCATCAAATGCGCATACAGCCAACTCGTTCGAAATTTCGCAGTTCTTGCTATCTCCTTGTCGGAGGCTCATTGTCGTCTCAGTTTCAAAATTTACTGCGACCGACGTCTCGTCGTAAGCTATCGTTTCGTACGAAATTCAGTTCGAAAATCGGCAGATCAAAAACGAGCGACTCTTCTGGTGACTCTTCGTGGGCAAACGAATGGAAAGCGACGACATTGTGAAAATCGTCTGTTGCCACGAACTTGTTCTCTGACTGTGCGCACTAAATCGTCATCGATCGACGGACGGTCGACCGCTTCGCTGATCGTCGTGCACGTTTTCACGATCGTCGCTAAAAATTGCCAACACGTCTTGTCGTAGCATCACGCGTCACTTGTTCTTCGTACGCTTGACGAAGTTGACGATGAATGGCCGTCGGTTTCACGTTTCTTTTATTCAGAACGCGTCGCACGGCCCACGGACCGCTCTATTCTGTTTCGAACGTGCGAAAAACGAACAAATACGCGTAAACACGATCCGATTGTTTCCAACTGGCAATTACGGCTTGTCAATGAACAAAGGAAATTGGCGTGCGTGTGCGCAATTCCGATCGTAGCGTCGCAGCAGCGATATTTCTTAAGGGAACATACTTTGTGGAATCGGCTCGTACACGAAATTCAGTGATAAGATGGACTGTATCGTTCTAAAATGAAAATTAACGAGCCAATCGATGGCAGAAGATTTTCAAGAAACGCGTTTAAAGAATAATTTAATAACAACATTTTTTTTTAACAATTTTTACGAGAATATGAAACGAACAGATGATTTTTAATCTCTTCGTAACAATTTTGTTATTTTTCAAGTTTAACCTTGTTGTTTCATTTTCTGAGCAGGAAGTTTATCGGTGATACATTCGTCGCATATAAACGATTGCAGTTGCCTTCCGCAGTGTAACGATAAGAGTTACGAAGTGGTCTCTGAATCGATACAAATGAACGACGTAGGATACGATTCCGAATTGGCGTAAGTCACGATATTTTTTAACCCTGCTGTGCTCGTTCTCCATCCAGCTGTATTTTTCTCCTGTTAAAATATGTCTCGTATGTATTACGTACAGTACGATGAAATTGTTATCGATGCGCGTGGTTTCACATTTCGGTCTGACATTTAAAAGAACTTCTTAGAAGATTAGAAATTTTGCTTAAAAATTTCCTTCCCCCCGTAACAGAAATGCTGTTTTTGTTAACAACTTTTTATCAGCGCCAGATTAAGTTAATTTTCGAAATGTTTGAAAATGGAAGCTTCTGTCTACAAGGATTTATGGGGAGAAAATTTGTTCGTTTACAGACGTGGCTTAGACGTCCAGAGTACTTCGTTTCTGTACGCGTATTTTCGAGATGGCACGTACCTCGAGTACCGGAAGCAAACTATCTTAGGATGGGACAGCCTTCTCGGTAAGATGGACTTTCTCAGAAAGTCATCCATACGTTCTAGACTTTTTTAGACTTTTCGATCGTTGGCATAAGTGGCTAATAGGAAAGCACGGCTAGGAGAATAAAGTAAAATTAAGCTGACTTTGTCGCGTAACTAGGCACGAGTTGGAGAAGTTCAATTGGAAAAGAAGGGGGGCGATGAAAAAGTTTGCACGCGAGAATAAGGGAATTTTCTTTGAAAGTTCGCGATTAAGATCGTGATGACCAAGATATATATTTTGAATCGCGTTTATCTATTTATGCGAGAAGGTGAGGTCAGCTTAAAGTAACAGAAAGTAATTTTATCAAGCGTGCCGCGAGCTTCGTGTAATCTTCCACACAATCGTATTTTTCTAGCGTTGAAAAGTTCCTTCACTTTGAAGATGAAATTGCGAAATTATTACGTTGTACATTCCAATTTTGCATATAAACATTTAATAGTGAAAGTTAACCGAGAGTTAATTGAGAAGCTCTTTCTCCCTTGAACGTAATTAAGAAAATTCGATTCTAATGTTAATCTATATACATATACTATATTCGATAATGACAAATTATATTTAAACAAATTATTCCATTGTATTATTCGTTCCAGCTGTTATTCAAATCGGTATTAAAATCACGACGTGAATTATAATTTATCACAGCGAAATTAATCATATTATCGTACTAATCGCATTTCTTGTATTTTTAATTTTACCTGAATTTTAATAACAGAATAAATTTCAGCTTCCTTCGGAGGAATCTTCGGACTCTGCCTCGGTGGTTCGGTGATAAGTTTAGTGGAGTTCGTGTATTATTTACTTGTAGACATCTTTTCGTTTCTTAAAGAGAGAACAGAACGACAGGATCAAGATCTACCACCTGCCTCCAAATTATTCGTTTCTGTGCCCGCAAACATGAAGTTGAAGAAATATAGTACGTCGAATTTGAACAAACGCATCTACCTTGCGTGGGATCAACAGCTTTCTCAACGAATTCGGAAAAACTCCGAATTCACGCGCAATATGTATCACGAATAACGTACGATATCGTGTTTAATTGCATATTATCGAACGTGCGTAGAATTTCTGCCAACTAATTTCCAATTGATTTCCACTGTCTAATAAAGTTTGACGTTTAAGAAGAACTTAATTTAACGATATTTAATTATCATCTAACGTAATCTATCAGATAAATGGCAAAAAGAAGATCAGCTGAATGAACAAGAAACGCCAATACTGTAATTAACTGTATTTGAAATTATAGAAATTTAGATCGCATTAATTAAAATCCTAATTATTACTATTTGAATATTCCTTAAACCTTGTTAAAAGCTATCCACCCAAGCGAATATTATTTTTCTTGTCGTTTCACGCTGCAATTATTAAACAACGTTTCGACGATTACAAACTCCAACAAATATTCGTCTTTTACGAATCACCGCTGTTTGTACATTGAAATTCACCCACCTGGGGGGTGACTTTATTTCTGTCTCTCGATGACGCAGGTGGTCGGTACAGGAAAAATTTGAAGGCGTTTTCCGCGATACGAAGGAAATGGTAGCGAAAGAAAATTATGCCGGAATAAAACTGGGGGCCAGCTTGGAAAACGAGGCAAATTAGAATCGCATCCAACTTCAAGAACCGACTTGAATTGAACGCTGATGAAACGTCGACTTCACCCACGTTTAATCGCGATTAAACCAACCTTTCTCTTTCTCTTCTTAAGAAGAAAAGAATGGTATTTGAGGGAAAGTTCTGTTAACGCCAGTTCTTTGTATTTTAGGCTCGTGTAAAACAGCGGTGATTTCAAGACGATAGCGTTCTTACAGAATTAAAGCGACGCTAAATCTCCTCAAGCTTAATGTTAAATTGACAATGAAGTTTTATAATCATAGGATACCTTTTACGTTACGTAAATCTTTATTTTCTCTACGCTCATATACGGCTTCCTCGTTGCTATTCATAGGAAAATGTAAGGGCTAAGCATCGTTAAACGGAGAAAGTTTGCCTGAACAAGGAAAACCTTCTCCTTTGTCTAAAACCATAATGAACATAGGCGCTTTAATAAGTTACAATGACTTGTATAATATATCTTCTTGAATATTCATTTGTATTTAATATTTGTATAACAAGCTGGCAAATAGTGATTAAGTAGAATTTTCCAGCCCTACAGGTGGCAATTCTAATGATAATTTCATCGATTTAATTAATAATTCTCTATAATATCGTTATTGTGATGTTATAACGAAACGAGATTGTTTAGCAAAAGAATTTGATCTACGATGAACGGCAAAGCTTAACCACGATTAACGACGAAGAAATTTCTTCCTATTGAGTGTAATAGAATGGCTTGATCGATCCGCAACGTGTAATTATAATCAATTAAATTGTTACTCTTTCGATCATTAATCATATAAGTCGTATGTCTCTAGAAGTATATTGCTAGAAGTAAGATAATAGGAAAGATAACGACGATTAAATTTGTTAAAGTCATTTCTACATACATCTTTCGATTCGTTTCAAATTTTACCAGTATAACGATGACAGTTCTGTCTCATTATTGTCCAAACGTTTCATGTAACTATTTTATGTAATTTATATTTTACCAATGTAATCGTGATAGTCTTGTCTCGTTGCAATGCCAGCAAAATTTCAACATCTTCTATGTAATATGGCACAATATAGCATACGTAAAAATTCTCTATAATAATACTATAATACTAATACTATAATACTATAATACTAATAATACTATTCTGAGCCACGATACATAGTACGAACTTACAACAAAGTAATTATGCTTCGATAATGCGATCTTCGAGGGGAAGATCGTGCACATGAGCGCGTGGGTCAAAAACTTCTCCGTTGGTCGGCGAATTTTATTAAGCGGCCGTAATAAGCAATGGCCTCGTCTTAATCATTTTCAAGCGTTAACGAATGAGCTTTGATGTATCCATGGTAACAACCGCGGATAACGGTTATCGATCCCCCACGGTTCTCGAACACCTTCCGTCACTTCCGTGACGATAAATTAATAGCAGGAAAATTTCAGATACACATCCACGTACAATATTCTTGTCTGCTAACATCGATTGCCAATTGGGGCGAGATAATTTCATTTCCGGGTATTTGCCGCGGCCAATGAATAACTAATTTGCTCTTTAAACCTGCGCAGCTGCCACTTGCCACGTGATTTCCCATTGGCCCCCCTGTTCCTGTATTTTATCTACTTTCCTCATCCAGCCTTTTCTTCGTTTCGTTCAGATAATTGTGAGTAAGGACGTAACGTTTCCTGTACTTTATAGCGGATGTCTGCTGATTAGACCACGGGCGTTTATGCAAATTCGTATTTTTACGAACACTGTGATTTTTTACAGTGATTCGTTTCACCTATCGAACGTTCTAACCAGTAGGAGAGCCCTGTGAAAATAAATTCGGAATAAAGTTTAAATTCAATAAGTACGTGTAAAATATTTATAAAAGGATTTGATAAATGTTGTAATATTTTCAAATGCCATTCTGTATCTCGGAACTCGGTGATCACAATGAATAGAATTTTGTAAAATTATTTTGGAAACTGCTACGGTTTACTATTAATTGAATTCCATGTTTTAGCAAGCGACACGAGCGCGAAGCATGTGCTGCGCATTTAATTAATAGAGTTTAATTTAATTAAAATTTTAATTGCCGCCTCACTTTTTAAATGGCAATGCGCATATTTGTTTTATTTACTGAATTATCGTGTGTATCCGGTTACGCGATCAGACTTGTTATTATCTCACTTTCTCCCTTCTTGCTTCTTCCTGCGGTATCGTCTTACGTGCCATTTTATAATTTCAAATAATAAATGGTATCTGACAATGAAGTTTACATTTCACCTAACAAATTCTCAAAAAATCATATTGTATATTCAATTGTTAATTATTGCAACAGAGTTACGAGCTCGTTAATGGCAGAGTTAATGGCTCGAAACTACTAGCTGGTTATCATAAGCTCTGAGTGGTTGATATTGATAATCAGAAAGTTTAACAATTTATCGGACCGTGATACTTCTATGCCATATTTTAAATTGCTTTTTACGGTTCATCGGCGACGACTGAAATTTCCAGTTTTCGTGAAATTATAACGATACCACGTTTCTATTTTTAATTTGAAAAGTCGACGTAGCTTCCTGTACGAGCGGCTTTTCCTCCTCTCTTTCTATTCCCTCAGTTCTCTCCTTTTATCTCCGCTGCAACCTTACTTCTGCGAGTGAATATTACATTTTTCAAGTGCAACGGTGAAAATTCATGGACAGGTGAACATGATCGCGGCAGAAATTTAGGGAGAGATCTTTCCTACGAGTTCCATCAATTTTACCAATTTCCATATAATATCAGTAATTTTACAAAATCGTCTTATATGGTCTTTGAAAAATGGAATTCGCTCTATGTAAAGACGAGATTGCAAAGTTTTACGATTATCAATTTCAAGATTGACATGTTCACGTAATTATGGAAAATTGCTTTTTTATCAAATGTGCAAACACTTCTGTAGACCGTTATTTGGAAAAGCTACGTTTATACTACTTTTCCACTGAAACCATACCCTCGATCGTATCGTAATTTTTAATTTATCTATTTCGGTTAATCAATTCTAATCAGTATATCGAAGACGAAGCGCCCGATCTCGATTCGTTAATTTTGATTCGCGCCGCAAACAGCGTAGATACATAGTTCAGGGTCACAGTAGTACTGTTCAAGATAATCAACGTATAGACGTTGAATACACGAACTCGTGAAGTGATTACATTGTTTGAGAAACAGTTAATTATCTCAGAGAGATACGGCCCATAGTTGATATTCCTGCGTATACAGTAGAACCTCTCATCAACGAACTCCTATTATCCGAATATTTCGCTATCCGATGGATTTATCACTTGAACGTTCTGGTATTGCAACACGGTACACGTTGCACAGCATTTAGTTTATGTAAAACTACGTAGATACAGGCAGTACGAGCCAGACTCGCGAAGCTTTTGACGAGATCAAAGGTGCCCCACAGCTTCTTAGCTGCCTCATTTAGACATATGTATGTATGTATTGAATGACTTTGTTAAGAGCGTAATACGACTCACCTTCCTTCGCTCGCTTGCCCCCCTCGCTTGTGACGGTACGAGACAGCTCAGATGAGGCGAATCTCCTTCGCGCTGTCTTTACATAGCTCAAAAGAGAAACCGTTAAAATATATAACACTCTACTCGTGCATTGCGTGAAATTCACGATCTAAACACGATACAATTGGATAATTATAATTTCATTTGTATCACTTATGATTATAATATTGATTTGATGATTGCAATATAAAAGGGAGAATATGGAGGTACTATACGTATAACCTATAAGAGTGACTATACTAGGAATTCGTTTGAAACCGCCGAAATACCGGCTGCGCGGCCGAGCTGTGCGTTGCACTTTGCAGAAACATCGATCTCGCCATCGATAGAGTTCACGATGTCGATAATCGACACTACGGTCGACGCAGCGCAGCGGTGTAGAGGGGAAATCTTCCCATCTATATATTGCGCGCGCATAACGTGTGTGGCAGTTAGATTTATTTCCTGTTCCGGTCGGTCGAGACAGATGTACGTGTTCGCGACGAAAGGAATAACCTTGTGTGTTCAAATTCTGATTCTACGGGATATAGTTCGCCGTCGTAACTTCATCCTCCATACAAAGTGTTTCCCATGAGTGAAAAATTCGAGTCTATATCGTTCCCGTGTGTGCCATGGTGATCGTTGGTTTATACCGGAAAGCAGTGCCCGATAAGAACTTTTGGAGAGCCAAGAGAACGATGGAGAATAAGGACAAGGTAGGATGTGTTATTTTCTATATTATTCTATAAGAAGGGAAAGCTCTGTTAGAGGGGAATCAAATTCCTCGTTCCGCTTCACGCCTGAGCATAGTTTCTCGTAGTTTTTACCATCTGTTTTATTATTCTTTCGATCTGATGATACGAGAGTTCACGAACTGTGAATGTCGTCGAATCTATAGTCTGTCCAACGAGTCGAGTCAGTAGAGGTAAACAAACATTTAGCTGGTAAGTAAACATGTACATATTTACGTACGACTTACATATAGCAGTTTTAGCTGCTGGCGCGTATTTACGTAGATCATTGTTAGGTTAGAACTTGTTTTGACTTCTTAGATTTATGACGCGGCATACAAAGGTTGCGAATACGAGCCATTATCCCAATGCACCAATCATATACGTCTGTATCGATTCGACTCGTCGCACGAGATATAATCGAGATATCTCGACAAAGCAATACCCGAATGTAAAAGAAATACATTTGTGTTTGTAGACGACGAAATTCCTGGTTATACAAGGTTTGTTAGGGAAAGGAAACGGTTGTCCTGACAGGTTATCGGTTCTCTTTCTATCTTGATCGGGATAGGTGTCGCTGACACGCGTTTCTCTTTCGACGTCTTAAGTAACGTCTAAAGATAGGAGCATTGTCTTAGAAGCGGGCCTCTTTCTCTCGTCGAACTCTCGAAAGGGCCACTGATCTATGAATAGGTCTTTGCCGCTCTTCTTCCTTACTCCTCTCATAATCCTCCTCGTGCCTCGTCGTCAACCCTTTTTATCGGGCTTCACTCGACATTGCTGACACAAAGATGGTGTTAGCTGCTGGTGAGCTCGATTTATGAACGTAAGAAAGAAATTTGTCGCTGTCTTTTTATAAAGCTCTGAGGAGAACGTGTAGAATGACCAGGAGATTAATACCATACTTATGTAACTTTTTTAATATTTTTATTTAAGGCTTCTTCTTATTATTTACTGCTCGATGCTTGAATTAATACGAAATGTACATAACCTCTTTGTACTTCGTTCGAAGATCTCTTACTATTATTTTTTATTCGATGCTTCAAATTATCTTCTCATCATATTATTGTCAGAAAAAGTATACTATCTAAATGGTATATCCATAGTATGAATAGTAGGGGCTCAGATAGATTTCAGTGAAGATTTTTTTTTATTATTTAATTTGTACTTTACTTTTTTTTAACTTAATTGCTAAATAACTTGTGGATGGCTACCCTCAGCGGGATACCATCTTCGAGTTTGACTATTTTATTTCTTTAGCGAGGTCAGTGGGGTGACAATGAAGATTAGTTGGGTATTTTCGAAGCGTACACACAAACAATTAAAATATTTTTTAATATAGTCATCGGTGATTGTTCTTTAGCATCGATGCTACACGTAGTTACATAAAATCTATTTCAATGTAAATTGTGTCTTTAAATATTTGTGCTTCGTATGGATCAGATAGTAGGGAAACGAGATTTCGAAATTTCGTGATTTTTAATCTCGCGTTCCTCGCTGCGATACTCGAACGAAAGCTAATATTTAACAAAAATTACTTTTCCACAAATTTGCCCAAAATTTTCTTTCTGTCCAAGCCACTTCGTCGTATGTTACAATTTAACTTCGTAATCTTTGTTCTACGGTAAATCTCATCTCCATAAATTTAAGATGGCGAGGTAATCTCGTTTCGAGTAATGTCACAAAACATTTGCAGATATCTATCTGAAATATGTGGGCGCTAGTTTGTTACCTTCATTCGATAGTTATGGCTATGTCTAGCCGTGGAAAAAGTCTATGAAGCTTCGTAGAGTTTCACGCGAAGATCAAAGTGGTTGCCTCTGTTCTTCGATAAAGATCATGTGCTTCGTAAAATTTGCAATAGAGTAGGTCGTATCAGATGCTAAAATAAACGATAAAATCTTTTACTTGCGTCGCTGGTATAAGCTATGGAATAGGTTTAAGATTTCAGCTACTGCAGCTTTTAATACCGTCTGAATAATTCAATGAGATGAAATTGGAAATTCCAAGTACGAATCATTTACAAACGATAAACGAAATGAAATATTTTATTTTGCGCAAGGTGACACTATTTTTAAGACATACATTTTATATAAAATGTACGATTTCAACGATACAATATAATATCGTCCAAAATATATAAATAAATATATAATTAGTATTTGGCGGATTCTGGTCTTCGTATAAGACGAAACCACTCGAACAGATGACCTTGCAAACTACTCGCAATGAGAAGTAACTCTATAGACCTTTTTTTTGCTTAGGATGGCAATTTTTACAAAGCTAATTAATAATAATTATCGCACCAAGACCACGATATGCTTATTAGACAGTTTTTATCCGGAACGACATTCTAAATTAACGTGTGAAATTCTAATTTTTTTTGTAGGAGAACTGCTTTTACATTTACTAATAACATGTAATTTCTGGGAAAATTAATCTACACTTTTATTAAGATCGAGATACGATTATTTATACATTTTTTATCTTCAGCGTGTCATTTGAATTATAATTACAGTACGTGCCGAATATTTAAATAGAGATTAGAAAGATTAATTATTCCTATGTAGAACAAGCTCTAATAATAATTATTAAAATTTTCATTTGTCCGTATCTTCAGTATAAACAATTTTACGAGAAGACTGCAACTGTTATAACTATATTCTTAGATGCAACAGTAGCCTTAATTGCTATTTATTTTATATTCCGATAAATCTACCATCGCGTTACGACGTACGTGCTACGAAGGAGAATATAAAAGGAACGAAGATGGAAGCCTCCCAACGACGTAATCTATACACTTCAGCAGTAACTACATCTTCGTTAGTTACTGAATTAATTAATTAATACCTACTCTAGGTTTACAGCCTGTTTATACTGTTTGGAAACTTATACGTAACTTGCTTGTTATCGCGGGCGTTCTTATATCACGCATCTCATATTACGCATCAGGACATTGATAAAAGAAAAAAAAAGAAAAAAAGCAATTAAAATTCAGGAATCAAAATTTAATTAAAGGTATAAATAAAGAAATTATCTATCGCCGATTAAAATTTATTTTATCCTAGTGGACAGATTGCCTAAGAAATATCGGATAAGCTATAAACAATAATGCGAGAAGCCCAAGTGCCGATAGGACGAAAGAATCGGGAAAATTCAATGGGCTAAGCGGCCCGTCGATGTGTCCGGACGGTTACGTGATGGGGGTACCAGAAAAGACAAAGAGCTTACGGAGAAAGACGAATTAACAATCAGTCGTTAACCGAGAGTTGAGTTGCCGAGTTGTTATGAGTTGTAAACTATTAGTTGTGAGTTATGCATTTCAGTTGGCTTAGTTATAGCACATTACTGTATTTAGTTCCATTCCAATCCATTGTAAATAGATCCATCTATCAATAAACATAGGATAAAAATCATTGGAAATTTTCATTTCTAATATTTCTGAATAAATAAATCCTGTACTAGAAATTTCTTTTGACCAGAAATCGTCCTCTCGTTACGCGACACGTGTATGGAAAAAAATTGTGGATTAATCTCAGCCTGCTGTTTGGACCTATGGGATCCAACTATGGGGAACAGCGAGTAATTCCAACATAGAAATTCTTCGACGATTCCAATCAAAAACTCTGAGATCCTTAATAGATGCACCTTGGTATGTTACCAACGAAACGATACATCACGACCTTGAGATAGCCACAGTTAAAGAAGAAATATCCAAATACAGTAACAGATATTTTTTATTTAGTTGTTTACATTCACAGTAACATAAGAGTTAACAACCATCAAAACCCATTAGTTACTCAATTACTTTTCCGCTGGCTAAAAAGACATTACCCTTTGGATTTAAACATTAGATTCAGCTAGAATCAAACATACGATAATCACCTATTATACATGATATAATATCACGCTAGAATAATTTATTTATAATTCTCAATGAGAATTGATTGTAAAATTCTTCCAAATAAAAATAAAAAAAATCTCATCCTACGCTGCAACAGATCTATCGTTGCAAAGACGTTTCATTTGCAAAAGCTTCGCTTAATTTGGCCGATCATCGGTAGAAATTGTCAAAACTAATCGGTTCACTTTAGTCTCTCATACGCGCAACTGTTCCTATTCTCATCCTGCTATATACAGGGTGAACAACATAAACCAGATTACGTAAATATCTCAAGGTTATTCTTAAAAGACTCCGACATCATCAGTGCACCAATATACCAATAACAAACATCATCTATTTATAAGAATTACGAGCTCCGTAAGCTTCGAATTAAGCCAAAAGGCGGCGATCGATCGCGATCTCCTTTCGTCCTAAAACAACGAAATTCTAATGGCGGCGGATCGATTTAACCACTTGGAAACATCCTCAGCTCGTAAACATCAACACTTTCGAGTGTGAAACGTAAAAAGAAAAGCGAGGGTCCTCTTCGAAAAGTTTCCATTCACAACAGAAGCTCGATGTCGAGGCATCGATCAATTTAGCCCCCGATGAATTCTATCTTGGACACGAAGCCAGCTATAATGAAACGAAAGGGGAAAAGTAGAAGTCTCTTCATTGAAACCAGAGTTATCCCATCTCTCGGTCCCGCTTACATCGTTTCCCGCTGATACTACGAGGATAAAGTGATCTAAGAAACACTCCACACGTCTACTTTCGTCGTTGACCCTGTCACAGCGTCTTCTTTAGTTTCAACTAACAAATGTCGCAAGGGTCTCTGGGTTTATGCGAGATCGTCGATCGTTTAACTTTAACGCTAAAACTACCGAACTTTGACGATACGTTTAGGATTGTTCGAAAATTTGCAATAATTTTCAAAGCAATTTTATCATACAAATTCTTAAAAATATTCAAAATCGAATTGACGAACGTTTCTTCGACGCTGTATGAAAATCACATTCGCCTGTACTTGAGAAATGCTAACATTTTTCTTTGCTGCATTTAACGTTTATAGAAATGTTTTCAAGAAGCGCGATGCATCTTTGTTGCTTTACGTTGCTGAGAAAGATCGATGCACAGTTCGCGGCCAATTTTATAATAACGTTAGACAAATACAATGCGAAAAGCGTGTGTTTAATTACGAGATACGTAAGATCGAATTTTTAAAGCCGTTTTCTACGCTGAAACGCTAAAAGCGGACGTAGGTTATTTGCGCGACGAGTCGTTGATACGTGAAATTCTCTTAAATTCAACAGCTACCTCGACGCATTCGGAATTAATTTGTCAAAAAGCAGACACCGCGTACATAATAGACGCACAGAGCTAGAAAATAGTCGCGGAAGCTACAGCGAATGGTCAGTTTCACCGAGTTATCGCTTCGCCTCGTTTCGAGGGAGCTTTCGGGGTGAGTCACGCTTGCGCAAGCCGCGTGCACTTAGCGAAGCTAGAACGGCGCGCAACAATCATGCGAGCTTCAGTTTTCACCAAGTTCTCGTCGGGGTTGAACGATCGTCGCTCGGTTCGTCTTTCGACAATCATCGTGAGATTACTTCGTCCGTGAAAAACGAAAATTTCATCTTCGTGTCACGCATCTTCGGCTCGTGATCCCACGTGTTAGTCGATGAGAAACAACGCCAAGATTTCGTATGAAAGTTCTTCTCCATCCACGTGAGAAGCTTCACCCTCTGTACCGCGATCCCTTGATCTTCCTACGCGTTTAGATACAGTGTATCCAAAGAAGAACCGCTGACTTTTTACATTTTATAAAAACGTCTTTGGCGAACGTCGAATATCGCGACAGTTTCAACAACTTTCTACGTTCGTCTCCGCGTTTCGTCAGCGCAGAGATCGGAAGATCTGGTCAAAAGCGAACGCTTTGAACTTCTCAGCCTTTTCTTGTCTTGTCTTCTTTTTTTCTGCAGTTAGAATTTCTATCTAAGATCGCAAAGATTTTGCCGTTTTTGTAGAATCGAACGAAAGACAGAGAACGGTGATTTTCACAAATTTTTCGTTTCTTTCCTTTTCGGGGGAGTTTTCTTTTGTTTTTTTATTTGAGACTCGAAGAGTTTCGCGATTTCGTGGCGAATTTTGACGAGACAACGAATGAACGAAAAATGGAGAAAAATGTGTAGAGAAGACGCGAGTTAAATTGTTACGATTTCTTAAAAGACCGAGTGGTGTACTATATGGCAACATCAACCGTGTCGGGACATCATGAAGCTGTCAAGGAAAATTCCACGGAGCTTCTTGATCGGATTTCCATGAATAGTTGCCCGCCAAGTAGTTTTCCAGACAATTTTCAAGACTTCTTCGCCGCTCTTAACGAAGACTCGGACGATTTGCCCAGCATGCTCGAGGATAAGTTGATACCCAGGTGAGAATACGGATGTTTTCGTCTACTGTCATTCACAAGTTTCGTTTAAGATGCAAAGGGTAAGGTATTCCATTGAAAAATAAGATTTTGTAAATTTGATATCCAGCTGAGAATAACAACACTTTTATCTACATATTGTCACCGATAATTTTTATTAGAGTTTGAAAATTAAGGAAAATAATAATATTATCAAATAAGCTTTCGAGACTTCGAGAATTTACATTAGGTTGCAACATACGAAATTTTTCATCTTTAACGATTTATTGATCTCTAACAAACCTTTCATTGAATTATACCGTGCAAATCGATCTGCTGTGCCAAAAATCTTCCTTGTAACAGTAGCAATGCCCGATATACAATAAAGTATTGTTATTGTACGTACACCACCGACCATAAATCACATTGTAACAATACAACGTGAATACAATTTTCTGGCTCGAGTTCATCGCTTAATTTTGCCATATAACGCTGTTTTACGATGATACCCGAATACGAAATTTAAATGTCCACGTGTATAAATTGAATGAACATTTAAAAATGGATATGAAAAATTATATGACGAATTATGATAGACAAAAGAATAAGGCCAGAATAGGCAAAATGGAGAAAACAGTTACGGCAACTATTAGGACGAAGTTGAACGACGATCACAGTAAAAGTATTGAAACAAAAGGTAATCGACAGAGTGCCGCGGCCAGTTCACACGGTGATATTCGCACGCGGCTGATGGAAACGAGATATAAGATATTTCGTTAAGATTTTTGACGATACGATTTGATTTACTTATTCTTTAAATTAGGAACGATTGATATAATAATAAATGGTATTTTTATTTCATGACGTAGGCCCTTTCATAATAAGGAAATCGTTCGTATGCAAATTTCAAATTTCATTCAGCATTTATATAAAACCAATATGGGATCCAACTATGGGGAACAGCGAGTAATTCCAACGTAGAAATTCTTCAACGATTCCAATCAAAAACTCTAAGATCCTTAATAGATGCACCTTGGTATGTTACCAACGAAATGATACATCGCGACCTTAAGATACCCACAGTTAAAGAAGAAATATGCAAACATCAGTAACAGATGTAACGTAAGAGTTAACAACCACAAAAACCCATTAGTTACTCAATTACTTTTCCGCTGGCTAAAAAGACAATACCCTTTAGATCGAAGCATTAGATTCAACTAGAATCAAACATACTATAAACACTTATTATCCAAGTTATAGAGTACCACGCCAGAATAATTGACTTATAATTCTCAATGAGAATTGATTGTAAAATTCTAGCAAATAAAATGAAATTCAGCGTTGACTCGTGAACACAGGTGTATTTATTGGGTTGGCAATTAAATGATTGCGGATTTTTTCATTAGGTGGTATGGACAAAATCCGCAATCACTTAGTTGCCGACCCAATATTTGTTTAATTTTGACCTCGCTGTGAAGAAATAGACGCATGACATGGTATACTTACTTAACGTATCTAATGTACTCAAACATACTTATCCTCCACTTTCGTATCATCACGCCTATTTACGTCTGAACTTGTAATCTATCCAACGAGACGAGGTACTAAACATAAACAAAATTTGATTGCTATAGCTGTAATAATATTTTGTTTGATAATTTACTACCTCGTCTCGTTGAACACGCCATAGAGCTGTCTAAACCTACGACTATAACAATGGAGAAGAAAAGAATCTGCTATTGCAACGACTGTAACTTTCTTTATAACGAAGTACTATGAATTCTGCTAACAGATGTGTTTGTACATCTAAAAATTAAACGACCAACAACGAAGGACGGAATTTTCAGTTTTAAAACGACGCTTAAAGTAAAAAAATATTTCCTAGTAAAAAAAGAGAGATTTTGGAAAGTTGATAGATCGACGAAGATTTCGTAGAAAAAAATAAAAAATACTTAACCCCCGTGCGTCGCTGGTTCTCTTAAGTAAAATTATCTGACGATGATGCAAAACTGACGCAGTGATAAAGAAGCGATAAGAAAGATGCGATAAAGAAGAAAATTCTGAATATCGAGACGTATAATCCTATTGTTTACAAATGATAAAACTGGATATACTGTTTTTAAAAAAATCATTCATCGCGTTAATTGACGCAAGAGACGCAAGAGAACTAATCAGCGTAAAACATGCAGTTGCTATCTTTTCGTGCAAATGGTTGACCGGCGAGTACAAGTGACTTAAATGCAAACATATTAATATTGATGATACCGTATTATCGTGACAAAGAAAAATTACTACGATAGAACGTAGGAGAAGCATAGCAAGATGAACAATTTTATTCCCCTTTTCGCAAACTATATTTGATGCGTCTTCCTTCTATTCCAATCCGAGCTTTCTCTCGCATATTTGCGAAATTATGAATCATGTCTGTCGTATTCTATGTACGTTCTCTGACATTCGTATATTTTGCAATCATTGTCGCAACGTACATTGTTCTTAAAATACGGTTAAACGATAACTCGTATCACAACCCTACCGTTGAAAGTAAAATCAAATTACTGTGGAACTGGATGTGGAAAATTGCAAATATGACAACGAACATCCGTTTAACTCGAGATGACATTTTCCAAAAAAGTCCTGCAAATTCATTGGACAGGGAACATCAGTCGATATTCGCAAGGCTAAGAATAGGTCACACGAACTTCGCCCGTGTTCACCTAATCGCAGAAGAAGAACCGAACAAGCGTAATATTTGCAAAGAGAAAAATTACTGTAAAACACCTATCAATCGAACTTTTCACATCGAAAGACAACAACGCAACTAATTAACATTTCTTCAATTAATTAACCCAGCAGCGGAGAAGCAGGGACATTCACAATGTCTGACACACGTTATAAGTATAAAAATATAGTTAACGATACAATGTAAACATTGTACGTATTTATGACCAGACAATAGCACGCTATCCTAATGTATTGGCTTGGTAACTAAGTGATTGCGCATTTTGTCAATATTTTGTCGTTACGTGGTATTGACAAAATCCGCAATCACTTGGTTGCCAACCCAATAACATTGTATAAACCTATGAAATACAATTATCGTAATTACGACTGTAGTCTGTCACAACCCTCACAGATGAATATGACTGTAAATAAATAAACAAGTGATAATCCTATTACGAATATCAGAACTGTAATTTTAATTTAATTATAATTCAACATTAATAATCGTATTATAAGTATCCCCACTATTTTACTCTGCAAGTATTGATTCTACGATCAATAATAAATGGATTAAGTCATTTTTTTTTTATTCCTCTTGGAGAGTACTCTATGGCTTTAAGGTCTTACGCTACTTTTTTTTCTACTATTATTGACTGGGGTGTGCTAATCAATTAAAGCAGAGCGCGTTGTAAATTCTACGATATGATTCATTGTTTACAGCTTTACATATTCACGCATACGTTGTACAGTTTTACCTATTAATATTAGATTACTACATAAATTCTGTTTGCCTCTTCGTTAATATAAACATAATAATAATTATATCATCGCTGTATGAGTCAATATGAAATAATTTTTTTTTTTTTTTTTTGGTAGAATTTTTACAATCAGTTCTCATTGAGAATTATAAGTCAATTATCTTAGCGTGGATTATAAGTGTTTATAGTATGTTTGATTCTAATTGAATCTAAAATATGAAATATGAAATATAACGTATTCCTAGAATTTACAAAGGACAGAAATAAAAAAATCTTCATTAATTCCTATCAAACGTGTTCGTAGAACTTTCGAAACTTCCTCTCTATCGCAAGAATTTTCATTTAGAGTTGGCTTTAATCCTGAATTTTGTACGGGACTATATTTAAGGCGGCAAGTTTGGCAATTAAAGATATCGCACGCTGCTGCGCCACATTTAGAAATTAAATGCGAATACGCGTATATAAATCTAGCCTGACCAATTCTAATTCCATTTAATACTGTCTGTTGTTCACGGTCGAGATATACAGTGGCTAGATTTTTGTTAGAACATCCTCCGTTGATTTACAATTGCAATGCCGAGGAATTTTTCTATTCATCGTCCTAAAAGTATTGGACAATGCTTTTCTACAAAAGTTTACAGTATTACGCTTTTTTATACAAATTCCCAAGGTCACTTATACGAACACGATCTTTCCATAAGCCTATTTATAGTACGAGAAGATAGTATAAATAATGGTACATCGATACACTGTGAACACATTTACACAAATTGCAAGTACATAGTTTTATGAATGCAATTTAAAAATAGTATAAGATAAAAAATTGTTTTACTCAACCAATTACTTTGTTCCGTTACTTTGCGTGTCTTTCATGTTTTTGCATACCGTGTACATTCAAATTTCCCACAAATCCATGATATCTCGTGGTCTAATTATCCGCTTTCTTTTATGCAATTGATCGATAACAGCTTGCGCACCACTGACGTATCAAAGTCCAAATTGAATCGTATAATACGAATAAGATTCAAATTTCAGTGAGAATGGTCTTTATCATGCGTAGCTGGAAACGGATATTAATCGCGTTTCTTGTCGGATTTCGACAGGTTGCAGATCCTTTCTGTATCGATGGAAATGTCGAGGTCGGCTAGAAACTCTAACAAGGCCTCTAATGCGTACGATACAGATATATGTATCTGGATTTCAATTAGTTCCAGATGCTCCTTATCTTGGTTAAAACGTCGACGTTGTGATATCGTGCCTATTATTGAAATGGTTGATGGAGGGATTAAGCGTGATCTGTAATAACGCTGGCTACTATGCAATGTATGGCAAAATCGGTCACTGCAGCCTATGTTGTGTTACGATCGTAGAATCTCGCGAAATACGCCGAGGAAAATTTCATTTTCGCGTACGGTAACAAACGAAACAGAGTTTTAAAAATTGCGTTCCTTCAATTACGTACGCTATGAGTTTCAGTAAAATTTGAATCATATTGATAGCAGCTACGTATTCCGTGTATTATATTCATTCGTTGTATTCATTAGA